AATTATCGTGATTGTTACATTATTTGTTAATTTATTATTTAAGATTTTAATAATATTTTAAATAATTATATTTAATAATTATAAAATAGAGACACATATGTATATATATGTATTTTTATATTGACATATATGATACATATTTAGTATAATTTAAATAAGTTTCAGAACTAGTTGAATTAATTAATTAAATTAATTCATCGATCAGTCGCACGATAAACTTTAGAGTTTTGGTAAGCTGTAAACTTTGGTAAGCTGTAAAGTAAGTACTTCACGTCCAATAGCTGCGTCAATATCATCGCACTGTCCCCCCCTCCCCCCAATTTGTACAAATAAAGAAAGTTACATTTCAAATTGTAAAAGACAATTGTAAAGTGGCAATTTAATTGAAGACAATTCCCCCAATTATTATCGCAATGTCAGAATACTTTCCAGTCTTAAGTAAACAACATATATCCGTGACACGCGAATACGAAACGCCTTTCTATATCGTTATCGAGTCGACATTCGATCGTTATCATCGCGCCAACTTGTCGACCTTATCGGCGAATAAATCAAATTTAACATGCTAGTAATTAGCATGAAGACAATTTACAAAAAGTAAATCAATAATAAGCTATTTGTGCAATTTGTTTAGTGCACTTAGATAAGCACTATCACGCAATGTCTCCTTTCGATTTCGCATTCATAAATTTTTATACTGTTGAACAGTCAATATAAATTATCACTGATAAAGTATAATTATCACTGATTAAATATCTTATATTTAATTAACTATGCATATTATCGATAGAACGCAATCGATTTTACGCAACATATTCTTCTCTCTAGATCTTCAATGTGATGACATTTTAATCTATCCTTTCGATAAAGGAGAATATTTGAGATATGTGACGATAATTTGAATTGTATCTTGAAGATTAAGAGATGCCTCATTTACTGAGCAATAAGTATATAAATGAATTTTAATTAAATAGTACAGTATGTTGTCTTATATAAATGTAATTTTCGAGATTGCGTATCTCTCTCTCTCTC